CTATGAGAGAGATTCTATCATTAGCATTTTACAAATGAGCCAGTGAGTCTCAAAGAGGTTCAGTCCCTTTCCCCAGCTCTCAGAGCCAGTAGGGCAAAGAGTCCCAGGGCAGAATGAAACCTCATGGAACCTCTTTCTACAGGGCGCTGTTTGAGTAGTGGGGTGTGTGAGTGTGCCCCCTGCCACGACCATCTTTCTCTGTCATTAACTGGCCTATTGACATGTTTTACACACAGTAAAGGAGGATTTCGCTCTCTGAGGCCTTTCTGAACTTCCAGTGCAGACACATGTGACTGTCCTGAGAGACTGGGTCTTCTGCAAGTATGGAAATGTGCTTTAATGGCACATCAGCAAAACCCAAGATCCGCGTACATCACTTTTGATGCGAAAAGTGTTAGCCTTTAGTCAGGGATGGGGCAGGGAAGCTGGAAGGGCGGGACTGGGAGAGTCACTAGACTTGCAGTGAGCCTGGCAGGGACCGTAATCTGGGAGAGAGGCAGAAACCAAGTGTAGGGATGTCAGTGAAGGTGGGAGTGGTGAGCAGATACAGTAGGTGAGAGTGGTGTTTAAAGAAAGTCATTTTCAGGGGCTGGGCATCATGGTTCACACCTGTAATCTCAGCATTTTGGGACGCCGAGCTGTGCGGATCACTTGAGGCCAGGAGTTCAAGACCAGCCTGGCCAACATGGTGAAACCTCGTCTTCACTAAAAATTAAAAAATTAGGCAGACATGGTGATGCACGCCTCTAATCCCAGCTACTAGGGAGGCTGAGATGAGAATCACTTGAACCCAGGAGGTGGAGATTGCAGTGAGCTGAGATCGTGCCACTACACTCCAGCTTGGGCCACAGATAAATAAATTAATTAATTAAATTAAATAAAAAGAAAAGAAAAAGAAAGTCCTTTCAGGTGAGGATCAGGAACCTGGCTGGGGAGACAAGGCGGGGAGCAAGGGACACTCATTCATTTATTCATTCAACTTTCATTGACTCAGCAGACAGACTGAGCAATAAGGGGCCAGTTATCTCAGCTATAATAACTACCATTTAAAAAAACAAAAGCTCTCAGGGTTGCAACTTCCTGATTGTTCCCTGCCCCATATTCCAACTGTATTAACTGATCTCTGTACAGTTTCAAATGATAAAAATACACATGAACTATTTTAGACAAAAGGAGGATGTATTGGTTCCTATAACTAAACCATGGGAAGAGCTGGAGTGTAGTCAGACCTCAGGGCTAACTGGCACCGGCCAGACTCCTTTCTTTCCATCTGTCATCTCTCATCCATTCTTCTGAGTGTCCATTTCAGCCTCCCTCATTGGTCTCTTCCATAATGAATGGAAACATGGCGGCCCACACTCAGTGTCTCAGAGAGAAACTGAAGTTCCCACGCCGAGATGAACTCTGATTGGCCAGTTTGAGTCAGCTGCTCATCTTTAAGCCTATAGCAAGGTCATAGGAGACAAGATGGCAGCTCCCATTTGAACTACATGCTGGGGAATAAAGTAAGGGTCATTCCTCAGGGGAAAAAAAGTAAGAGGTGCTAAGCTGTCAAAACAGTAGATGCTCACTGCAGTCTACCCTTTGGTGCTCAGTATACACGCCTGTTTTCTTTCCCAAAGCAGAACTCCGAACCAGCCCCCACCTAACACCATATAGCCATCCCATGCACCACTGTGACCACATTCACCCTCACCCCGACAAGGGACCTGCAGCTGTGGCACCCAATGGTGTCTAATGACATCCGTCAACTCTGGACATGAATGCCTGTGATCCTGAGAACAATGAGCTAAATGACTAATCACTCCTAACATGCCAATGTAAATAATGAAGGGACCAGAAAATATGTGAGGAAAAATATACTAGAAGATAATGACCAAATAATTCCCAAATGTGATCAACACAGAACAAAATACTGCATAATCACAATGAAGACTTGGACTTAGAAAAGGAGGCGTAGGCTGGGCACCGTGGCTCACAGCACCTTGAGAGGCCAAGGTAGGTGGATCACTTGAGCCCAAGAGTTTGAGACTGGCCTGGGCAACCCCATCTCTACAAAAAATACAAAAAATTAGCCGAGTGTGGTGGTGTATACCTGTGGTCCCAACTACTCGGGAGGTTAGGATGAGAGGGTCAGTGGAGCGTAGGAGTTTGAGGTTACAGTGAGCTATGATCGTGCCACTGCACACCAGCCTGGACAACAGAGTAAGATCCTGTCAAAAATAAAGGACAGGGGAGAGGAGGTGGGGGGAAGGGAGGGAAGGGAAGGGGAGGGGAGGGGAGGCTAAGTTGATGAAATAAATAAGAATACAGTGACTCAAACAAGATGGTGGCTTATTTCCCTCATCTAACAGACCAGGCGTGGGCTGGAGTCCACAGCATAGGAGATGCTTTTCTCTGTCCTGCAAAGTTGCCCTGGAAATCAGATTCCTTCTGACTAGGTGTCCCACCATCCCTAGAGTTATGTCCTCATCTGCATGTTCAAACTGACACACATCATCACACCCACATCATGGTTTTCTTTTTGTTGTGTTTTGAGATGGAGTCTCGTTCTGCTGCCCAGGCTGGAGTGCAACTGTGGCATGATCTCGGCTCACTGCAATCTCTGCCTCCCAGGTTCAAGAGATTCTCCTGGCTCAGGCTCCTGAGTAGCTGGGACTACAGGTGCCTGCCACCATGCCAGGCTAATTTTTGTATTTTTAGTAGACAGGGTTTCACCATATTGGCTAGGCTAGTCTCAACCTCCTGACCTTGTGATCCGTCTGCCTCGGCCTCCCAAAGTGCTGGGATTACAGGCGTGAGCCACCGCGCCCAGCCTCATCATGGGTTTTTATAGGCCAGACTTGTGGCTTCTTTGGTGATCCAATTCTATCAAAAAGTTAGAAACATCCTGATCTATTTGCTTCCAATTATTTCCATACAGAAATGCCACACCCAAAGATCCCTTCTGGACATGGTTCTGAAGCCTGCCAGCTCTCACATTTTCCTAACTAGCTCCCATGCCTGGCCCATCCCTGCTGCCCCATCTTAATGCTGGCTATTGTGGTGACTGAAACAACAGGCTGGGTGGGCAGATGACACATCACATCTTTGCCACAGGGATGATTCCCATTGCCAGGAAGAGAAATTTCAGTGGTAGGTACAACGGCCTGCCTTCCCGGTAATTGCAGGTGGAGCTTTACCAAATAACAGACTAGGAGGAGTCACCGTCTGGCCATCGTCCCTCATCTGTGTTTTCTCCTTTGCGTTGCTCAGCCACTAAGCCAATGTCACATATTTAGATTTTTTTTGTTCAAGTTGCATCTCACCTTCAGCACAAATGTCTGCATTAGCTATAGGTTACGCTACTATAGCAAACAGATTCCAAGATGCAGTGACGCAAACATGATAGAATTCTGTTTTTCTCTCACACAACAATTCCGAGTAGGCCCCAGGCAAACAGGCAACTCTGCCCCATGAGTTGACCAGGTTTCCAAATTCCTTCTCTCTCCTTGCTGCTCCTCCATTCCCATGGCCACAAGGTCAAAAGTGTCCCACTTCATCACCTCCACCTTCCAGCCTGTGGAAGGAGAAAAGAATGGAAGTAATAGGCAAGCAACCTCCTTACCAAAAGTATGATCCAGAAATTTCCCACATCACTTTGGGCCACATCCCATTGGCCAGAACTGAATCATGTGACCACACTGTGCTGCAAGGGAGTCTGGGAATTACAGTCCCTAGCTGAGTGGCCATGTTGGAATGGGAGGCACTTGTATTACTTAAAGGAAGAAATAGGAAATGAATACTGGGGTACAATTCCTATCTCTGCCTTAGGGAAAAAGGCAATTTACAAACAGTGGTACAGACCAAATACCACATCTTGCTGGTCAAGGGAAAACCCAGGTTCCATGGTGATTTGTTCGTAGACTCACTTCCCTGAATATGGGGACTTTCTTAACCAATCTGGTTATGCAAACATCTTGTCTCCTGGGAGCAGCCTTGGCTTACTGTACCCCAGAAACTACCCTGAGAGAGCCAATAGGAAGGACTCCCTTACTGAGAGCTGGGCCATCTTAGAAGCCCACATCCCATTGGAGGCCCAAGGATTGTTTTAAGGCTTGTGCAATCACAGGCAACTTGCACAAAGCTCGGGGTTTTGTTTGTTTGTTTGTTAGTTGATTTCTTTTTAGTTAGTTCTGACAGTTTGTTTCGCAACACAGCTGAAATAGAACCCTGGCTGAACTCTGACAGCCAGTACCTAACCCCCAAAATTTTGTCCAGGCTCAAACTTGGAATCAGGATCTATCTTAGTCCATTCAGGCTGCTATAACAGAATACCATAGACTGGGTAGCTTGTAAATAACAGAAGTGTATTGCTCACAGTTCTGGAGACCAGAAAGTCCAAGGTCAAGGCACTGGCAGATTCAGTGAGGGCCTGCTTACTCATAGACGGTGACTCCTTTCTATGTCCTCATGCTGCAGAAGGGGCAAGGCAGTTCTCTGGTTTTATAAGTGCATGACTCCCATTCCTAGGCTTGGTCCCTTTCATTCTGTTCTCATTATCTAATCGTTCCTCCAAAGGCCCCACTTCCTAATACCGTCACCTTGGGGGCTAGGATTTCAACATATGAATTTGATGGGAACACATTCATACCGTGGGGGTCTTAGATGCAGGTGTGGGGGCTCTACTTGTTTTTGTAAGCCTCAGCATCTCCCCTGGCCTTGACCTCTGCAGGGGTGATGCGGCTGCCTAATCTGCCTGTTGTGCTGCCCTGCTCCCAAGCTGTGCTTCATCATGGAGGCACTGGGTAAATTAAGACAGTGCCAGGTTCTTGGGAAGGGCCACTACCATGGACCAAAGAGTCTACCGGTGCCCCAAGTTGAATTGCCCTTTCCTTCTCCCCATCTTGTTTGGAGTAACCAGTTCCTTCCTGCTTTGGAATGGGGCAAGCCTCTTACTCAACACACGCAGCAGGAAGTGTTTCTGCCAGACTTACCACTGGACTCTGCTGTCTTCTCAGGGTGCAACATAGAAAATGCCTGCTACCCTCTGGGCATCTGTGCTGAACGGACCGCTATCCAGAAGGCCGTCTCAGAAGGGTACAAGGATTTCAAGGCAATTGCTATCGCCAGGTGAGTGGGAAGGCCCAGGTTGCAACAATATTCATTCATCTATTTAGCCAACATCTTCCTTACACATATTATTCATTCATTCATTCATCTGTCATATGTTTATTGTGGACTTCCTATGTGCCAGGCACTGTATAGGGCCCCGGGATGAGTGCTGAGGATAAGGAGACAAATAAGAAATGGAGTCTGCCCTCAGTGAGCCTGCAAGGCAGGTAAATAAGCAAGGCAACTCTCATACAAGGGCCAGTATGCCCCTGTTCCAGCAACACAAAGTGATACAGACTCCTTTCCTACAAGATACCACAGAAAGGCAGTCTTGAAACACAAAGTGGGGAGGACCTAAAAATCACCTGCTATAGACTCCCTTGCCACCTTTTTATAGCTGATGAAATTGAGGCCCAGATAAGTTGAGCAACTTTCCTGGGAGTTAGTGCCAGTGCTGGGATAAAACCCAGGTTCTGGAGTCTCACTGCAGGGCTCATTCCACTGTGTCATGCCGTGCTAGGAGATGGAACACTTTTCCCTGCTCTCCGCAAGCTGATGCTGGGATCCTGAATGAGCCACTCAGCACTGCTTACTCCTTCATTTGGCAACACTCGCCTCAAGGTTCAAGAACCAGGATACAAAATCAGCCAGGTAAACACTAGTTATGGTTCCAACTAATCAGAGTCCAGCCCAGGTTCTGGCTGAACAAGAGCCCCAATCAATGCTCCTATATGTCCCAAACATAAATATCCTAGTTGTCATGGCTTCCTCTCCATGGGAGCATGTTGAATTCTTGTTGGCTCTGGCCCTAGACTCAGTGGTTTCAGGATCCAAGCATGTAAATTAGCCCTTTTACTGGACTCCGTTATTTAATGACTTAATGTTGAATCGCTCCAGTGTGCACCTCTGCATTGTGTATGACAGTTTTCTTAACAAATTATTGATGCAAGAAAAATGACATGGGAAATGTTTATCCCACCCAGAAGGAGGCTGCATGCTTGTTGGTCTTTAGGAACATCTGGGTGCACAGGTCACATTCTATGAGGGAATTACCTCTTCACTCATAGTGGAATTAATTCCTGTGGCAGAGCTACAGCACCTTTCTGGCTAAAATGCAGAAATGCAGGGGTTTAGTGCAAGGTCAGTGGGGACTGTACAGAAGCAAGCCCACGTGCCTTTTGTAAGATCCTCAACTTTGCCTCAGTCTGGCCCCGAGGTGACCCGGCTTATTCAAGGTTTGTTTCTGAGTAAGTAAAGCCCAAGGTGCACTTAAGGAGAAGGGCCCCAGTATCCGAGAGCCTTCCCTGTGACCGAGGTGTGTCCTGGCTTCCTTAAGGCTTCCAAAGGAATAAATGACGTCGTGCTGAGAACATTTTGTGCAGATAGGCCGAGATCAGGATGTGAATTGCACTTTATGGAAAAAAAAAAAAAAAAAAAGGAGGGAAATAACTCAATTTCAAAGCTGATCCAAGAAAATAATGATATTCTAGGGAAAAAGAGGCCAAAGTCAACCAAAGGATAATGATGCCTTGCTCTGTTTAGAATTTTCCAAATGAGAGGCTTTTTCTCTTGGTCATTATCTACTTTCAAACACAAGGAACTGTCACTAGCAGTGATTAGCAAATGTCGTTATTTACACAAAACCTGCCATTTTTCCAGCCCCCAACTGCCGTACTCTGGGTATTCAGCCTGCATCAGTGTCCCTGAGTCCAAAATACACTCATTATCACACTCATGATTTGTTAAATTGAGAGCGTTTGTGGATTTAGAGGATGAATGAGAAGTACCAACTCCCTCATTAACATCAGATGGGTCTGAGCAGCCTCAGAGAGAACAACTCTGAGGTCTCTAAGGATGGAGACCACACTCAGGAAAGGTCCGTGTGTCTTACTGCTCATTGACAGATGAGCTTGCCCCACTGGGTCCCAGCTCTAATGATCAGAGTCAGTAGGTTTCCAGCCCATCGAGTCTGATAACCATGGCCTCAGTGTGTGACCAAGGTGAACACAAACCACAGAAAACTGTAAATAGCCAGCAAAAGGCGGGACAGAGTGAAGAGCAGGGGAGAGGGAGAAAGGGGGAAGCGGTGAAGCAGTAAAGAAACATCCTGAGGCAGCCAGCAAGTGCTCACTCAGTCTTGAGTCTCTCTCTTGGCAGGAACGTTGAGTAAGTTAGAAGCTAGGCTTCAGCATCAATGAAACCTGTTTCCAAATCCAGCCGCATTATGGACCTTAGGCACGCTGCTTAGACCCTGAGCCTGGCTTCTCATCTGTGAAATGGAGAAGACTGGTTTGTTACAGGGTCTCATGAAATGATTTCTATACAGTTCCTGACACAGGGTATGTAATACATTCACACCATTATATAGTTGTCTTTTTTTGTTTTTTTTTTTTTGGTTTTTGGTTTTGTTGTTTTTCTTTGAGAACAAGTCTCGCTGTGCTGCCCAGGCTGGCGTGCCATGGCAAGATCTCGGCTCACTGCAACCTCCGCCTCCCAGGTTCAAGCGGTTCTCATGCTTCAGCCTCCTGAGTAGCTGAGACTACAGGTGCCTGCCACCATGCCTGGCTAATTTTTGAGTTTTTAGTAGAGATGGGGTTTCACCATGTTGACCAAGCTGGTCTCGAACTTCTGGCCTCAAGTGATCCGCCCACCTCGGCCTCCCAAAGTGCTGGGATGATAGGTGTGAGTGACCACATTCAGCCTCAAACTATTACATTGTTTTAAAGTTATCGTTCTTTATTCTGCAAGCCACAAAACTACCAAAGGCAGAGTGTGTAGATTTGGGGTTCAAATCCTGATTCTGCCACTTTACTAACTTTGTGTCCTTGGGCAAGCCGTTTCGTCTTTCGTGATCTACAGCATGCAGGTGATAAGAGGGCCTGCATACCCCCGCCCTTACAGGGTTGTTGGGGGATTAACTGAACTAATTCACTTAAGGTCCTTAGCACAGAGGCGGGCACACAGAACCACCATGTACGGGTAAGCCATTAATGTTAACAGGCTGTCTCTACATCCTCAGTGCTAGGCTGCCTGGAAACACCATCCTGTGACTTGGCTGTTGAAGCCTACACCAAATCTACCTTCCCAGTGGAATGCACGCTTACCTCGAAATCCCTGATGCAGATCACCTTGTCCAGGGAGCTAGCCATTGGGTGGGCCACAGATGCCACAAGATTCAGAAAGGAGGCCAGACGTGGTGGCTCACGCCTGTAATCCCAGCACTTTGGAAGGCCGAGGTGGGTGGATCATGAGGTCAGGAGATCGAGACCATCCTGCCTAACACGGTGAAACCTCGTCTCTACTAAAAATACAAAAAAAAATTAGCCGGGCATGGTGGCGGGCACCTGTTGTGCCAGCTACGTGGGAGGCTGAGGCAGGAGAATGGCATGAACCTGGGAGGCGGAGGTTGCAGTGAGCTGAGATTACGCCACTGCACTCCAGCCTGGGCGACAGAGAGAGACTCCATCTCAAAAAAAGATTCAGAAAGGAAGCGGTGAGCTCAGCAGGGGTCAGATTACACAGGGCCTTACAGGCCATGGAAGGAAGGCTGAATTTCATTCACAGCAACTCTCCCATGGCCCTAACCCATGGCCCTAACCATGCCTTTGTTACCGCATTTCTGTGAAATTGTATCTACCCCTCCGGAGGGTAAGCTCCAGGGATTGTCTGATTGGTCTTTGTTGCTCCTTTCCCATGCTTGCCTGGCATAGAGAAGGGTTTTGGTCGACATGTGTGGAATGAAGTGAAAAATAACCCCCAAAAAGCGTAAGAGAGGCCCTGGCTGCAACACCTGTTATCCAGTAATTGCAAGAGTTCACTCAGCGTCCTAGGCAGGAGTCGCCACCCTCTCATGTACCCATGGGTTTTTCTTCTGAAGCTGGAAGCGTGCTCAGAGAGAACCCCATCTTCCCATGGAATAGAACCTTTCATTGACTGGACCCCCACATATAAAAGGTAGTTATGGTGAGAATTAAAGAAAATAGCACCTCGGCTGCTTTATTTTAATCATAGTATCTATCCCTGTCTCCACATGGTTGGTTGGTTAATCAGTTGCCTACCTCCCCTCACTAGTCTATAAACTCCTGAGCATGGTGAATTTTATCTGTTTTGTTCACTGCTGCACTCCTAGCACCAACGACAGTGCCCAGCACATAGTAGGTGCTCAGTAAATATTTGTTGGTTGAAATGAGACGATGCATATAAAATGCTTTGCTGAATGCCTGGCACATTCTAGGCACACATTATCTTTTTTTTTTCTTTTTTTTTTTGAGACGGAGTCTTGCTCTGTCGCCTAGACTGGAGTGCAGTGGCATGATCTCGGCTCACCGCAACCTCTGCCTCCCAGGTTCAAGCAATTCTCTGCCTCAGCCTCCCGAGTAGCTGGGATTACAGGCATCTGCCACCATGCCAGCTAATTTTTGTATTTTTAGTGGAGACGGGATTTCACCATGTTGGCCAGGCTGGTCTTGAACTCCTGACTTTGTGATCCACCCACCTTGGCCTCCCAAAGTGCTGGGATTACAGGCATAGGCACACACTATCTTAATAACAATTGTTGTTAAGATATAATAAGATGAAATATTAAATAGTACATAAAATACATAGCATATAATAAAACTGTATATGATAAAGTACTAAAATTATGACAAAGCTTACATAGTAAGGAAATAAATATCCAGCACTTAGAACAGGCGGTAACAATATGTATATAACATTCTAAAGTTTACAAAGTCTTCCATACACCTTATCTCATTTTATCTTCTAGCATTCTTACAAAGCAGACTCTTACAAAGCATCCACATTTTACAGCAAATAAATGAGCCTTGGATGAGCTAAAATGACTTAGTCAAAGTCACCCTTAGCAAAAGGAAGAGCCAACTAAGAACCAAACTTCCTGTGTTCTGCCAGGCACAGTGGCTCATGTCTGCAATCCCAGTACTTTGGGAGGCCAAGGTACAAAGATCTCTTGAGCCCAGGAGTTCAAGACCAGCCTGGGCAATATAGTGAGACCCTATTTCTACAACAAATCAAAAAATGATCTGAGTGTGGTGGTGTGTGCCTGCAGTCCCAGCTACTCAGGAGG